TTTGACAAAAGCATTCTTACCTGCAAACACCTCTGCATCCACACTTAAAAAGGTCACTAATGACATTCTGCAAAGGAATATTTCAGGCTTTTGGTGAACTGTATTTATTGCAGGCTATGCTGGGTTTGATTTTGAATATTGAGAATTTTAAGCATGTAGCATTATATTTTACAAAGCCATGCTCACTCTGAAACAATCAGCTTCCTGACACCTGTTTTGTTGTGTAATCAGTGATACAGTCAGACCATTCAAAGGAATCACAATATGCTCTTTCTTGCACGCTCCCCTGCTCGGTCTCACACTGCACACACTGGAGTTGGCTTCTCAGTGAAAACCATCTCCACATCAGAATTCTTACCAGACGCACATTGGTTTTCTTAAATGACAATGTGACTAAGGTCAATTCTCAAAGTAAAGTATCATTGTATTACTGGTCAATATTTTATAGTAAATGTCCACGTTGTTGTTAGTCAGGTATTGAGCGCATTCATTATGAGCAAACATTCTGGCATCTTCAGTCCAACATCCCAGCTACGTAATAGCTATTTCATAGCACAGTCAACCATAATTCTCAGGGTATACTAAGAAAAAACACTACATCCTCTTTCTTCTACGCTTCCCCGCTCTTTTTCACACTGCACACTTTGGATTTTGTTTCTCAGCAATCTCCACGACTCCATCCTCACATGCATCCACTCTCACCTCCTTAATGGTCGATGTCAGTAGTGTCACGTCTGAAGGTAAATTTTCATTGTATAATTGAAAGAAAGTTTTAGTGATTGTCAAACAATTTGTATAATTAAGGATTCAGTGTTTCCGATCATCTTATGGTGCGTAATCTCCATCCCAAAATCTCCGCTCTATAACAGTTGTTTCAGAACACTGTCAACTATAACGTTCCGACTGTACTAAAGCAATCACAACATCCTCTGTCTTCCACACTCCACTGCTCTTACTCACACGCATGCATTGGTTTGTTGTACTTCACAGCCAAGCCCACAACAATCCCCTTATCTGCATCCAAGTCTAAATCTTCAACTAACACTGTCAAAGATGACTCTTCTCCAGGTGAAGTTCCAGTGTATCATTGTACGGTATTTATCACCAACTGTGTGTGTTTAATTTCATGTGTTGAGAGTTTTCAGTATTTTGGATCAGAATTTCAACTGGCATTTTCAGGTCCAAAAATCAGCTCCTTCACAGATATTTTGCAGCAAATTTAACCGATCATACCTATCGGGTTCCTTTAAAGAGTTCACAACAAACATTGTCTTCTGCACTCCGCCGCTTTTACTCAAACTGCATTTACTTGATATGTTTATTCAGAAATGCGATTCCAACTTACACAATCATCTGAAAAGGTTAATGATGCCAGTTACCAAGATAAGGTTTTGAACCAAACATACTGAATTTTTTTAAGGTTGCCAACTATAAACACTGAGAATGTGCCCAAAGTAATCACAACATGCTCTTTCTTGCACGCTCCCCTGCTCGGTCTCACACTGCACGCATTGGATGTGGGTTCTCAGCCAACTCCACACCTCCATCCTCACATGCATCCACTCTCACCTCCTTAATGGCCGATGTCAGTAGTGTCACGTCTGAAGGTAAATTTTCATTGTATAATTGAAAGAAAGTTTTGGCCATTGTCAAACAATTTGTATAATTAGGGATTCAGTGTTTACGATCATCTTATGGTGCGTAATCTCCATCCAAAAATCTCTGCTCTATAACAGTTGTTTCAGAACACTGTCAACCATAACGTTCCGACTGTACTAAAGCAATCGCAACATCCTCTGTCTTCCACACTCCACTGCTCTNTCCTCATCTGTATCCATTCTCCCATCCTCATCTGTCACTAATATGGCTTCTAAAGGTAAACTCTCGTTGTTTTATTGAACAACATTTTACTTTAAATGTCCTAATATATTGTTTTTATACTTTCTCATGATAAATTTTCACTGTGTAATTGAATTAATTTTTTTGTCAGTATTCAGTCCACAGATTCATATTATGATGTGTTATCTCCAGCCCAAAATCTCAGCTCTATAACATTTGTTGTTTTACACTGTCAACCATAACTTTCACCCTGTAACAAGTGAAAGATGCTCTGTCCTCCATGCTCCACTGCTCTTACTCACACTGCATTCATTGGTTTCGTTTTCTTAGCAGCCACAGCCACAGCATCAGCCTCGCCTGCACTCACTGTATCCTCATCTGGCAAAGGTACCACTGCTGGAGGTAATATTTCATTGCATTGCATGGAATTACTTTTTTAGTGAATATTTGCATAACTCCATCCTCACCCACATGCAGTCTCTCATCCCGACCTGTCACTAATGTGGCTTCACAAGATAAACTCTCATTCCAGTGCTGAACAACATTTTTATCCAAATGTGAGGTAGTTTTAGATATATATTTGTAGTTTGCAGTGTGTAGGATCATCGTGTCCTCTACCCGAAATCTCAGCCCTACAGCAGATCCATAATTGAAATCTTCTCACCTAAAAAAGATCAAATCTACTATATTATACTAATGTCAACAGTAACACTGAAATTGTCCCATACGTGATAATAATGTGATCATTCTTCCATGCCCCCGGCTCTGTCTCACACTGCACACATTGGATATGGTTTTTTGGTGAAAACCATCTCCACGACAGAATTCTTACCCGCACACACCTTTGCATTCTTAAATGACAATGTGACTAAAGTCAGTTCTCAAGGTAAAAAATCATTGTCATTGAATGGTATTTAATGTTAGATGCCTAGTTTATTTTTTTTTTAGGCATTGAAAGAATTCATTATGATGAAACATTCTAGCATCTTCAGTCCAACATCTCAGCTGCGTAACAGCCATTTCATAGCACTGTCAGCCATAACTCTCAGGTTATACTAAGACAATCACAACATCCCCTTTCTTCCATGTTCCCCTGCTCGGTCTCACACTGCACGCATTGGATATGGGTTCTCAGCCATCTCCACAACTCCATCCTCACATACATCCACTCTCACCTCCTTAATGGCCGATGTCAGTAGTGTCACGTCTGAAGGTAAATTTTCATTGTATAATTGAATGACATTTTTTATGCCAGCATAAGACAGTTTGGACAGTTAGAGATTCAGTTATATTTGGTATGTTATCTTCCAAAATCGTCCAAAATCTCATCTCTGTAAATGATGTTTCATAACACTGTCAACCATCACGCTTTGACTGTACTAGAACAATCACAACATCCTCTGTCTTCTACACTTTAGTCTCTAAGAAGTGAAAGATGCTCTGTCCTCCATGCTCCACTGCTCTTACTCACACTGCATTCATTGGTTTTGATTTCTTGACAGCCAGTTCTACAGCATCAACCTCACCTGCACCCACTATCTCATCCTCATCTGACAATGGTACCACTGCTGAAGGTAACATTTCACTGCATTGTTGAATGCTACTTTTTACCATATGTTTTGTGTTTTCTTGACTTCCACATTCAAAGATGCCTCCAAGTGAAGTTCCATTGTATCATTGTACATTATTTATTACCAGCTGTGATTGTTTGCTTATTTTTATTGAGCCTTTTCAGTATGTTGGATCATAATTTAAATT